TTGCTCTGTCACCCAGGCTGGAGTACAGTGGCATGATCTTGGCTCACTGCAACCTCTGTCTCCCGGGTTCAAGCAATTCTCCCTGCCTTAGCCTCCCGAGGAGTAGCTGGGATTACAGGCACCTGCCATTACGCCTGGCTAATTTCTGAATTTTTAGTAGAGATGGAGTTTCGCCATGTTGCCCAGGCTGGTCTTGACGTCCTGACCTCAGTCCTGTTGCACATTCTTTACAATGCTCTGCAAGCCAGATTTGGCCCACAAGCCATAGTGTACGAATCTCAATTCTAAATTATTGTCAAAGCCAAAATCTTTGGTTGCCAAGAGTAGATGTGGTCCCAGGAGGGGTAAATAGAGGGAGGTCCACCTGGTTATAGGAGGACTCTCTTTCAAAGTTCCAGGAAATCAGACATTTTGCTGTAGCCTCTGTTAGTTGCTGGCAAACTCTGGCCCACCAGCTAAACCTGGCCCACCACTTGTTTTTGTAAATAAAGTTTTATTGGCACACAACCACACCCATTCATTTACATATCACCCACAGCAGCTTTCTCAGTAGAATGGTGGAATTGAGTAGTTGTAACAGAAATCATCTGGCCACAGAGTCAAACATGTTTACTATACAAACCTTTATGGTAAAAAAATAATTGGCAAATCTGGATTGGAATATCAGTCTTGCATTTGGATCCCGATTCTATTCTTCCAGGTTTTGTGCAGCAGCTTAAACTCTGGAAGCCTCAGTACTCAGCTCACTGGGATAATGTGAGGATGTATTGTACTTCCTCAATCCCAACAGGTGTGTTATTTTTGCATTTTGGCATTTCTGAAATTGGAGTGCATCTTACAAGCAATGCATCTTACTAACACTTAACAGTGCTCAGGATCTATATTCTAGGAAAAAATAAAAATAGAATTAACAGCACCTTTTTTTTTTTTCTTTTGCCTGGCTGTCCATAAAAATAATGGGGCCTCTCAAAATTTCCTAGAGGTAATACAATGTGATCAATGAGATACTGTGTGTAACGTGCTGAACGTGTTTGGGACATATGGTGAGTTCTGGGGATGGCTTAGCAACTGTTTGGGTTCTTTTGGGTTGTCTTGGATTCTGTGTCTTGTGCATCTCTGCATTCACCCAGCACGTGCATGGTGTCTGGCTGAATGGAAGCATCCAACGAAAAGTAACTTATAAGATTTGTTGTTGTTGTTGTTGCGGTTTTTTTTTTCTTTTTTTTGAGATGGAGTCTCGCTCTGTCACCCAGACTGGAGTGCAATGGCGTGATCTTGGCTCACTGCAAGCTCCGCCTCCCAGGTTCACGCCATTCTCCTGCCTCAGCCTCCCGAGTAGCTGGGACTACAGGCCCCTGCCACCACGCCCGGCTAAT